TATTACTACCAATATTACTGCCAATATTATTTACTGAAAATGATGAGTCACTTGGGACAAAGGAGGGATATCTTTTACAATTTATACCAGAAACTAGTTTATGCTATGTGATGAACAATTTCTTACAGTAAAGAATGTATCAAATATCAATCTTTCTCTTGGGAAGTCAGGGATACCAAAGGTGCTCATGTAAAGAAAAGTGTAATTTAACATGCAAATGCAAGAAAAATTAAAAATTATATAACTTGAAATATCATGATAGTTTGCCATGTTTGAATAAGCAGTAAGAATTATTAGTTCTATATTTTTTCCTAACAAATTTTTTGATATTTTTATACGCATATTTCTAATATTATGCTGAAATAGTTTTTTTTTTTTTTTTTTTTTTTTTTTTTTTTTTTTTTTTTTTTAGTTTCTCTATATTCATTAAATTGTTTTAATATTAATAAAACAAAAATGTATTTCTGATTCATTTTATTAAAATTAGTATAAATTCATAAGTTAATTTATTAAAAAAATAAAAGATGGAAAATTTCATATTTATCAAATTTATGAACTACAGTTTGGAAATTATTCAAAAATTGTTTTAAAAATAGTATAATCAGTGATATCTATCAAATTTACCAAATTAATTTGGGAATTATAATCACTGGTAAAAGTGAAAAATTTAGTGAAATTTATCAAACTCACCAACATGATTGGTGATTATGCATAGTAACCAATCATTGTGCAGCTATTATGCATAATTGCTAGTTAATCACTTTACCATAACTTATATATTGTGTTTTGTAGTGTCCTAGAATAGGCTATATAAAGACAACTATTACTGGCATTTTTTATTTGAATATAGTAAACTTCTGCTAATTCAAACTAATATGGGGTTAAGGTTGTCTGAGTTAGCAGAGTGTTTTCTCTGTTGATGTGGAAAATGAAGATGGATATACAGTAAAGTAATTTATTATGACTAGCTCTATATAGACATTTCACTAAATTTAAGTAGGTTATACAACTGAGTTTATTAAAAAATTTCAGGACAGTATGATATATAGCAATGAATAGTCTTTAGTAACTTACTACAATAATATAATGCACAGTATTGCAAAGACTTCTGGTTGTTGAAAAAACTCATTAATTATAATTTTTCTATTGTCAAGAAATTTTAAATTAATATACAGAAAATATGTCCTAGTTATGTAAAGTCTAAGTTAGTTGAAGTTTACTGTATGCTAAATGCTGAGTTTTTTTATCTTGAATATTATGAGTGTAATAGGCTTAACATAAATTATTGAAATTTGATGTACTGTACATTATACAGAAAATTCTAATGTTAAGGCAAGTTATTTTCTCATTATGACAGCATGGAATTCTAAACTTAAGATCTCAGCTGTTATCAATGTCTGAAAATAGTATTAGTATAACATTTATTCTATAATTTTGATCAGTTAAAAAGAATAATGAATGCAGTTATATCAGTCTCCATGGACAACATACAGAAAATATTGAATGAAATAAATATCAAATTGATATGTACGGGAACACCATGGTGTTCTTTGTTTCGATCTTACACTGTTTCTATATTGTACAGTATACATATGTTTTAATTACATCAATTCTTTCACAAAATATTTCAGAATATTAATTTTTACTTTTGATGACATAAAATTTTGTTTAATTTTTATGGTTATTACTTTTATACTTGTTTATTTTACTGAAAAAATTAACAGCTGCCAATAAATAAATACTTTTTGAATATCAGGTGTTGATGCTTAAGATATTTTAATTGAGATAAAATCATCTCAATTACAAGCTACAATTTTTAATCATATTTTTAAATTAATTTAATTTAAAATATAGGTTCTCTACCTTCAAATTAGTAGTGTCTTGTCTCTGTATATCAAACTTTTCCTTTAGCAATCAAGTTGTACCAGTCATCTAATTCCTTTCAGGAGAACTTTTTGAATTGAAATAATGTGACTTCCAGTTTGCATTGGAAGTTTGCATATAGTTAATCAGTGCTTCTGCCCCTAAGCTTTCCATTTTCTGTTTTGGCTTTCATCTATCTAACTCTGTTCTTGCGATTAAAGAAGAACAGACAGACTACCAATTAATGTAGCTCAAAAATAACCTGATAATTTGGCAGATCATTTGGCGTTAAACACGAGTTTTTTCTGAAGGTAGAGCTGAGCAGTTTTGAAAATGTTTGTTTGCAATAAATTTAGACTTATAAATTTAAGTTGGATTTTATTCCTTGTGTATGTGCGCTTGAAATGTTTTGTTTGATATATTTTCAAATTTTAAATGTTAAGATTCCAAACTATATTAAAGGTAATATGGATTCACAATAAATATATCATTAAATACAAAATGAACTGTTAGTGTTAAAATTCACAACTGAATAATAAGGTACAGTGGTACCTCAGGTTACGAACGCCCCAGCATACGAAATTTTCAGGATACGACATGAAATTCGAACATATTTTTGCTCCACGATACGAACAAAAACTCACCATACGACGTAACATTAGTTCGCATTTTTCATTTGTTTTTCTTACTACAGTTATTTTTTAATGTATTACTTGGCTTTAATTTGAGTATGTTTTTCGCGTTGGAACGAATTATTTGGTTTTACATGTAATCGTATGGGAAAAGATGATCCACCTTACGACATTTTCATGATACGATCTCAGTTTCGGAACGGATTAATTTCGTATCCTGAGGTACCACTGTATACTTTTATTTTTCAAGATTTTATTGCAAGTGCTTTTGATAATCAACATATTATAATAATACCTACATTATCTAAAATATAATTTTTTACACCAAGTATTAGATTAGTTTTATGTTTAATAACTTAGCAATTTAAGATGATTTTTTTTTTCAAATTTATAATATAGATAGATAGATACTCTTATGGGTATGCATTGTCATTACTACCTGATGTTGAATGGACTTTGGTAATTCACATTTTCTTCTCACTTACCAGCATTCACTGATTAAAAACAAACATTTTTGGCTACATTCAGTGGCTTGCATCAGTTAAGGAGGGTCTGCATCATGTTACTTCCTTGACTGAATGTAGCCAAAAACGTTTGTTTTTAATCAGTGAATGCTGGAAAGGGAGAGGAAGATGTGAATTTTAGTATTTTGAATGGACTTTGTTTATAAAGCTAGTTTAGTTTACTTATTAGAATTTAGTTTCTATTAATTAATAATGTTGAATTTTATTGTATTTTGTGATTGATTTTATATACAGTGGAACCCCTCTAATCTGTTACCTTTGGGACTGGGGGTATGGTCGGAATGCAAAAAAGGTCAGATTATCAGAAAAAAGTAAAATAAACAATCTTCCCCTTTGTCCAGTCTTTGTAGCACTGCTAATTTTTCATTTAATGAAAGAGTAACGTGTTTACGTTTCACTCCTGACATGTTGAAAACACACACAAAACTGTACATGTACACACAATGCAAAACATATACTTTAACGAACACAGAAAAACGCCACGGACGGTGAGTCACCGACGAGTCGGGACAAGTTTCTCAACTTCAACCATGGTCAGATTAACCGGAGTGACGGACTAGCCGAGGGCGGACTAGAGGGGTTCTACTGTATTTAAGAATAATTTTGCTTGAATTGAATGCAAGAAATGTGAAGAAGAATTAAATTAAAATTCCCAATGCCCATGTATATTCTTTTATAATGAAGTTTTCTAAATTGTAAGAGAGATAAAGAAGCACATCTGTCAATGAAATGTTTTCATAGAAAGAGTTATCAAATCACGTCTAAAAAATCCAAAATTATTTGAATTTTCCCTCCTGATCACTTGTGTCAGAAATGATAGAAAATGAAAATGTCTAAATTTTGATTTACAGAACTCTGGAAGAAGTCTGATCAGATAAAGGTCATTCATTCTAATATTCTGCTTACAACAAATGTCATTCAAATGTTCTCTGAGTTTGATGATTCTTATATATATTATAGAACATAGAGAACAAAACAAAGATAGATGCATTTTTTCTATTGGCAAAAAAAAAAAAAACATTTTTAGGCATGAAATCATTTTTTAGAGCTGGTTTTGTCAACCAGTGGAATATAGGACAAACCACTCAATACAGTCAAACCAGTGTAATATAGGAACACAAACAATTTGAATGAAACCAAAGCAAAATTACTTCAAATAAGGTGTAATCAAAAATACATTTTCAGTGACATTTAGAAACATTTTTACAAGTATGAAACATTCCCGTGAATATAACAAAATACAGAAACTGGAGAAAATGACAGAAAACAAATTCATTTCTTAGTGATCAATTCCAGAAAAAGTTTAATTCAACAAAAATGTTTTCAACCTAAGGTGATAGCTCTTCATCAGTTGAACATTCCGAAACAGAATGAATGGAATGTTCAATTGATGAACATTCCTATCACCTTAGGTTGAAAACATTTTTGTTTCATTAAAATTTTTCCTGGAATTGATTTTCTAAGGTGTGAATTTATTCACCGCCTATGAATTTTTCAAAATTCCATAAAAAGTCTGTAATGAGATTGAAGTTTTTGAAAAAAAAACAAATATAGAGCAAATTAAAATTAAGTGTTTTTGCATTTTAGTCACATATTCCCTTAAAGGAGTTAAAATCCTTTGAAACTATATAGCATGCAGCCACATTGAAGTGGTGATTAGTGACAAACATCACTTCAAATTATTCATTTTTTAATGATCAGAAATATCATTAGAATTTACATAATATAACATTTGTATCCACACCCTTTCTAGAGTGGTGAACTATCTCTTCATTTATGACATCTTTTATGGAAGGGTAATATATGTACTTATAAATATAATAATAGTAAATTTATAATAAGGATATGCATATGCTATAAATTTAACAAAATAAATATTAGATTTATATATAATATACATATTTATTCATATTTTAAATATATATAAATTCTATTTTTGTATCAGTCATTTTTAATAATTTATGATGTTTTTTTCATTTAGATGCTGGATGAAAATAGTCAGTTAATCCAAGCTATTGTGGATTATCAAAATAAAGGCAAAGCATCTGAATGCTTACAGTAAGCCAAATATTTACTTATTTATTTAAACATAAGATCTCAATTAATGATTCAGTTAAGTTGCTAATTAAGATTTACTGTTTCAACAAAAATCTAATATTTCTGTATTTTGTTTTCCCTTTCAATTGTTTGGACTGTTTGCTTGCTGAATTTTTTTTTATGTTTATGATCACAAATGCTCATCAAATCTACTTAAAATAACAAACAATTATTGATTACATAATTAATATGTCTGCTGAAAATTAATCCTTATCTATCTAAGTTATAAGAGAAAAAAATTAAATTTATTATACCAGATACTTTCTTTTATTGAATTTATTAAATGTATATAGTTATCATTTCATGAAAAGTATTTAAAACTTGCATGATACATAAATTCATTAATAACACATTGGACAATACAATTTTACATACATTATAATTTGGAAAAATTATTTATAAGAGTTGATTGATTGATTGATTGATTGATAAAGATGAAAAGGCATTCCTTATTATGCAGGTACAAGCTATGATCAGGGACAAGTGAAATGTTAATATGTGGAAAAATTTGATAAAATATATGGGCCAATTATTCAACCTGGAAAAATCTGCATAAAATGTTAACCTGCCATTTCCAGTAAAACAGACTTATTTCACTCACATCAATCTTTATTAACATAATACAGTGGTACCTCACACTTTGAAAGCTTCAGAGTTCAAATTGTGCCCAAAGTAGAAAAATGCACTCAAAGTGTAAATACAATCTGTTGTGTGCCAAAGTCCTTATTTCCTCTCACTCAAGCATTATGCTTGTATGTTTTAAGTGCTCTTTTTCAGCTTATTTTTGATATATTTAGTTATATATACTGTATTCTGTGTTGTTCATTGGTTTTAACAATTTCTTCCTGCAATTTTTCTTCATTGACCACTCTTGGGTGCCCCATACATTTTGTATCCTTTTGTTCAAAATTTCCAGAAAAACTTTTTAAACCACATTGAAATGTTCAAAGTTTAGGAGCATATTTCCCAGACTCATTACAATTTTTTTACTAGTAATTCAAACACAAATTATTATTGTATTTATTTTCAGGCACTTGGCAATTTTGATCATCAAATTTTATTTAGTTGACTCTGATGTTTGTTGGAATATCTATTTTTGTTTTATTTAAAATAAGACTTTTTTTCATTCTGCCAATTCTTCAATGGTAGGATATTGGAATGAAACATATTATTGATGAAATATATTAGGATTAGAAGATTAAAACGTACTATGAAAAAACTTGAAGCAAAGAACAAATCAGATGAATTAAAAAATACAAACGAAAAGACAGAGAACAATCAAAGATATGAAACAAATAAATATAAAAGACTAGTTAAAAAATTCCAATATCCTACCATTGAAGAATTGGCAGAATGGAAAGAAAGTCTTATTTTAAATAAAACACAAATAGATATTCCAACAAACATCAGAGTCAACTAAATAAAATTTGATGATCAAAATTGCCAAGTGCCTGAAAATAAATACAATAATAATTTGTGTTTGAATTACTACTAGCACGGTTCCAAAGTACCAAAATTTTTTTACTGTTTGTACGATTCTATATCCTTCCCAAAACTCATAAAGCATAATATACCTCGATATGCTTTTTATCTGATGACATTACAACTTGATTTTATTTAAACAAAATATGAAGTTTCTAAACAAAAAACAAGTAAAATGGCAAGGCCATATTTGGGTACAAGACTATGTCTTGGAGACTCACTACTAAGCGGGATCACTTGGATGCTCGTGGAGGTCTCGTTCTCATTCTTCAATCTTCTTTGGTATCACTGGTTTTGAGCGTGATCGTTCAAACTTTGCTGACCATGGCCACGACCGTGACCACGATGTTGTCCATGATGCATTTTCGGTGAAATTAACCTATCCAATGTTGAAATTTCTCTTCGTTGCGTGCTGCCCCAGGTTGAATTTTTGTTGATGCCTAATAAAAATTTCCCATTTTTGAAAAAAAATAATTGTGGCTATTGTATCATCCAAAATTATTTTTTTATTTTGCACAAACAAAATAAATATATTAATAAATGTAAAAACAAAAAAAATTATATTTCAGAAGTTAGTTTTAATATGAAAATAATATGAAATTATAATGACTACTGCCATCTAGTTTAAAAAATGCACAACGTTTGCATTTCCAACTTCCCAATGAGCAACACGTGCAAATTTCGCACTAGTGTCTGTTTGTAGAAAGAGTGTTGCCAATTTGTATTTTATTTTGACTCTGTTTTTGGTTCCCTAGGTACGTACAAGTCTGGTTTTTTTTATGCGCGCATAATTTGGGCACCTAATACTCTGTGCCAAATTGCAACTCCTGACATGTACTCCTTCATACCTCTAAGTTGGTAAGCCATGAGGCACCACAATTTTATAAATAAGACATAGTCTTGTCAATAAAATCTCACATTATCTATGATATGTTAAATTTCACAACTATTATAATTAAATTACACATCTATGAAGATGATGAAGTCTGTGATATGTGACCAATAATGATTTTCATTTTATTATACAATATTTCATATTTTATTTATTGCTTTTATGTTTTAATTTAATTGCTTTATTACCAGGGCATTTAAATGTGTTATTTTTACCTTAAATTATTTTCTTTTTTAAGTTTTTCAAAATGGGTATTGTTCAGGGTCTGGAAATGGATTAATTGAGTTTCCATTATTTCTAATGGGAAAAATTGATTCAAACTTTTCAACAACTTCCTGAAATGAATTAAATTTGAAGTATGAGGTACCACTATACTTTGTTTATTTTGGCAATTAACAGAATTTTAATATTTTCTTCTGTTAGTGTCCTTCACTCAGAAAGTAAATTTTTTTGTAAGCTGAAGTTCCAGCAGTTTAACTGGCTGAGTACAAAGACAAAGTCTTAAGATTTAAATAAACTTAATTTTTTTTGCTAGCCACCATTCTAAAAGACTAAAATCTTTAGGAAGATGTGTAATCTTTGTTTTATAAAGCTTTTACATGCTTTCACTAGGAATAGAAATTTGATTTTGGTTCATGTAGTTGCATTCATGTTTTACAGCAGGAAACTGCTGAAGGTCAGATTCCCTGAATTTTTAAGAAAATCACATTGAAAATTTTGTCATTCAAAGTGTTGCCAAACTGTTTTCTGAAACAAAACAAAATATTTTCAAATACAAAATAATTATTCTCAAACTAAAGCAAAATGACCTTTTCTTACCTTAATTGTTTACATGCTTTTCATTATTTAATGAACTTTCAAGGTATTCATAATAATCAATAAGCTAAGAGAAGCAATTAAGGAAAATGGTCCTTTGGGCTCTGTTTCAGCTTGGAAAACATCAAGCAGTGTCTTTATTCTTTGTTCACTCTATGTAATAAACTTTGTATCATCTTTAATAACAGTGAAATTGGCATTGACTTTTAACAATTTGTGCAGTTGTATGTAAGAAGAAACACTCCTGGATGATTCAGCAAAGTTGTTTGTAAATTCACATAGCATGTCCAGATACTCATGAGGATATCCTACAGCATCAGTCCAGGAGCTCCATCTGGTACATGCTGTTTTTGACAAATTGGAATTTCCAAGAGATCAGTATGTGTGTTACTTGGTTTGGATTGCATAAATTGGTAACTTGGCAGGCATTTTTTTTTACTTCTAAGAATTCCTTAAAAGCATGAAAACATTGAGGAGCTTAGCAAAATATTTTCTTTACAAGTGCAACACTAGAATTAAGTTTTTCAAACAATGGTGGAAATATTTCACAAATATTATGCAGCAAATGTACATAACATGATACATGGTGCATGTTGGAAAACACAGGTGACAGTACTGATGAAAAGCTTTCATCATGTAAGAGGCTTACATGGAAAATACAAATATACCTAAAACCAATAAAAGGAATAAAATTATTTAATGATACAAATGTTTTTGTTTGTTTCTAACAAACATTGTCAGGTGTATCATAAATACCGAACAGAACAATGTTAAGCAATTGAATGCATTTAATAAGTTACTATTTAAAACAATTACTATATTTTATTTATTTCCGATTAAATAATTGTGTTTGTTTTCCATTATATAAAGCCAGTTCTTTAAAGGAGTGAATGAAAGGATTATGTTCTGTCTGTGAAGAATACATGCACCTGATTAAATCCACTTCTGTGTATGTAGAATTTTTAATTACTGCTTGAGAATTGGTTGAAAAAGTAACTGCTTCCAAAAACTTAACCCCAACCAACAAAAGTTTTCTGAAAACTATACAATACAGTAAATTCAAATTAACAACAAAACAAATTCCTATTAGCTTAGTTTTTCTGAATTAACTTGCATTGAACAACTTCCCAGGATTCCAACCAAGATCAATAACATGCTCTGCCTGCATGCATCCATGGACTCATGCAATTCTACGTAAAAAATATTTGCTTGTAAATGGAAGACAGTCTATGGTTGATGGACCATAGACTCATGTCCATTTACAAGCAAGTAGCTAATATTTGAAAGCTATACTTTACTTTCATGAAAACCCCATGGTCTACAAGTTACTACATAACAGTAAAGATGATATAGAGTATAATAATGCACTGGGCATATACACTATCCCAGTTACAAATGAAAGACTTAAATGCCAACTTGTGTGTATAAGTTCCACGAAGAGATTGTTACAATGTAGGCTCAAGGAACACAAGTATGATATTGATAATGATCAACCAACAACTACTTTGATACATTATGCAATGGAATCTGAGGTATCTGTATGGCTAAATGAAGCTAAGATTATAAAACCAGTCTTTGATGAACATTATTTAAGAACCCTTGAAACACTGGAAATCTACAAAGCAATATTTCCAATGTATTATATTTTCATACACTAACCCACAGTAGTTTATAACCCAAAAATTTAAAAAATTGCTAGAATTTAAAATCTTTGCATAACCCACACCAATCCACATCTGAGAAGTAGTGTTGAAAATAGTCTACTTACTTG